GACGCTGATGTTGGGAAAGTGTGAAGGCAGGAGGAGAAGGGGACGACAGAGGACGAGATGGTTGGACAGTGTCATCGAAGCGACCAACATGAATTTGACCAAACTCCGGGAGGCAGTGAAAGGCAGGCCTGGCATACTCTTGTCCATGGGGTCAGGAAGAGTCAGACATGACTTAACGACTAAACAACAACAAACCCCCAAAATAAGCCCCAGTTAAGTGAAACTCCGCCTTCCACCATTGTGCAGCCGCCCGAAGAAGATGACATGACTGTATTTGAATACATGTAGATTGTTCTACATGGAAAAAAAAATAAAACAAGCCCTGCTGCATTTTTTGAAGGAAAAATTAATGTAAGACCCTGTCTTATTTTCGGGGAAACACAGCAATAAATGCCATCTCCCTCGCACAGGCACAGTTCCTGGGTCTCAAAAGCAGTGAAAGGAAGGTGGAACCAGGTATAAGAAAAACAGCAACCCGAAATATGGGGACTGTCTGGGAGGAAGGAGGGCGCTACCTCCTGGGAACCCCCGACTCCTTGCGACGCCAAAAGTCCTCCAAGGGCGTAAGGAAAGGCCAAAAGGACGAGCGGAGCGCCATAAAACTCAACCGCTCGCTTACTTGCCAGCCTGCCTGTCCGCCTCCTCCCTTACCTGTCGGTGGCGGCGGGGAGGCCGCTCCGTTTTTAACCCGGCCGGGGGCGCGCTGCTTTCCCGGCTGCCGCCTCATCGGTGGCTGGCCCGGCCCAGCGGAAGCCTCGGGCACAGCTGAGCGGACAACGCCTCCTCCACGCTCCGACGGACCGTTAACTTCCCCCGAATGGTGTTTCCGTCCTTACGGCTGTTAAATGTAAGCAATTGGATGAACAAGGGCAGCGCCTTCCCCTTTCAGAGTCAGAGGTGGTGGCTGTCGTCGTCGCCTGCTTCGCCTTGTTTACCTCAGCATCCACACACGGAAGCGCCACTGGGGCACCCAAAAGCCAAAATGGCGGCCACGGTCCCTGTGAGGCTGCGATGATGCTGGACTTCAGCGCGCATGCGCGAGCGAGCTTCGCCCGCAGAGGCCGCAAGGCGTTGTTTTGTTGGTTTCGTTTGTCAACAGACCGGAGTTTCGGGCGGTTTTTGATGCCATCGCTATGTAAAGTCGGAGAAGTGAAAGTGGCGGCTGTTAGCTAAGCAATTAGAATAGCAGTTCAGCCTACAGTCCTGAGTTTTAGATTATATAAAATATATAAAAGCTGGCATATTCGTACATTGACCCAGGTTAACCATGTTTTGGAGAGGGATCTCAGTTAGCAGTACCTCCCCTATCGGGCTTAGGGGCCAGATAAATGTTGCCTATTTACAGTATTTATTAGGGGTTTTTTTTTACTCTTTATCTTATAGTAACAGGGAATATTACAAAAGATCTGATGAAAACAGATTCGCGAAGGCTTTCACGGCCGGGATCTAATGGTTGTTGTAGGTTTTTCAGGCTCTTGGCCGTGTTCTGAAGGTTTTTTTTTCCTATCGTTTCACCAGTCTCTGTGGTCGGCATCTTCAGAGGACATCTCCAGAGCACAGCTTGCTGTCCTTGCCGGCCACAGAGACTGGCGAAACGTTAGGAAAAACAATCTTCACAACAGGGCCAAAGAGCCCGAAAAACCTACAAGAACCATCTGATGAAAACCTTGGACTAAATCCGTTCTCAATGCGAAGTACAGTATAGCCATTAAAACCAGTGGGACTTCCTGAAGTGGTGGCCAACAAGACCCATTCATTTCAATGGGTCTTCTTCAGTCCGGATGAATATCAGGAGGGCTAACTTTCTGTGACTAAAATTTAGTCAATCAGCTACAGAAATAAATATTAGGAAACATAATTATGTACTGTCAATTTGATACCTGTTATGACTTTCCTGTTATGACACCAAGATCCAGGTCTACAGAGCCTGTGTCCTGAGCACACTCCTGTACTGCAGCGAGTCCTGGACCCTTTGTGCACAGCAGGAGAGGAGGCTGAACACGTTCCGTATGCGTTGTCTCTGACACATTTTTGGTATCACCTGGCAGGACAAAGTTCCAAATAGAGTAGTCCTAGATCGAGCTGGGATTTTTAGCATGAAACAACAACATCTACAGTATTAAAACTCTTTAATCTCTCTAGATTGGGAATGAAGACCAAAATCCATCTGAAATGTATATGAGACTTCCTCTTCACTGATGAGGCAGCGGTTGTTGCCCATTCTGCTGAAGAGCTCCAACAATTTATGAAACTTTTAAAAGTAAGGCCTGCCAAGATTTTGGATTAACAATCAGCCTGAAGAAAACACAAGTCATGGGCCACGGTGTGGACTCACCTCCTTCTATTACGATCTCTACATAAGAATTGGAGGTTGTTCATGATTTCGTGTACCTTGGCTCAACAATCTGATACACTCTCTCTAGATATCTAGCTGGACAAATGCATTAGCAAAGCAGCTACCATGTTCTCTAGACTCACAAAGAGAGTATGACTTAATAAGAAGCTGACGGCATATACGAAGATCCAGGTCCATAGAGCCTGTGTCCTGAGTACAGTAGAACCTCTACTTAAGAACTGAATCCGTATTGGAATGTTGTTCTTAAATTGAAACATTCTTAAACTGAAGCAAAATTCCCCATAGGAATGCACTGAAAACCGATTAATCCATCCTGGCTGGGTTTTTTTTTCTTCTTTTTTCTTACAGTGAGGCGCATTTGTACGTTGAAGCATTAGTTCCCATAGGAACTAATGCAAAGCCGATTAATCCATACTCTACCACTAGGGGAGAATTTTTTCAAGCTAAAATGACCTAAGGTTAAAAAAAGGGGCAGGAAAGGTTTTTTCCCTGTTCTTATCTTGGAGCTCCATTCTCAAGTAGAAACAAAATTTAGTGAAGGGAGCTGTTTTTAAGTTGGATTGTTCTTAAGCAGGGATGTTCTTAAGTAGAGATTCCACTGTAGACACAAACTTCACTCATAGAAAACATGCAGAGAAGAAGCGCATCCCTGATACAAAAAGTATACATTTTAAAAGGCAAAACACAAAAGAGGGGCCAAAGGGGTTGGGAGGAGAAGGAGAAATGGGAGGAGTTTCTGTAATTGGTAAGAATTCCTGCAAGTGCTCAGCTGTGGGTAATAATTCATTCCTCCGTGTCAGGCGCCCAACATCTCCAAGGACAAGATTCCGATTTAGGAAATACTTTAATTGTAAAATGAAAGAAACTCAGATGGACTCCCCCTCCTCCCTTGTTCATTCTTGCCTGCCTACTGTAAAATATGTATCTGGTTTAGACATTCATATAGCGAAGCAAGTTACAGAAAGCAAGATGACTACGGTTAAGCTAAGATATATTTTATATGTATTAACTGGAACCCTCTGTTAGCTTGCTGTTTTTTACTGCCTGATAACATGTTGTAAGAGGCATGAGGAACATGCATCTGTCAGTAGTAGAGGCAGAGGAGCAAAAAAAAATTACGCAGGGGAATGGTTTTTCCAAATTATTTTAAGGATGAATTTTTAAAAATGAAGGGAGGATGTTTGTATATCACTACCTGGACTTTACTTCCTGAGAAGGAATTCTATGCCCATGTAAGACTTGATGTTGAAAAGGAACACACTTTCATGTGTTGCACAATGCAAAACATTTTCAGGTCCAGGCACGCTGTTCAGGGTTCAGCTTGCAAATTTGCAGCATAACCTTTTTGATCTCCTTGCCTCCTTCAAATTCTTTCATGTTTTACTGTGTAGGGAAAGAAATAGATCTATGTTTTGAGTTCTGGACATACCCTAGATCAAGAAATAAACTATAATATGAAAGGTATTAGAGGTTTATCTCAATCTGGACAAATGTTCACTCTGTGGCATCTTAAATATATTAGAGAATGTGTATTTGTCTCCAATAGCACAATTCATACAGATACACTATATGGATTGTTAACTGGAATATCTTGGCTATATCCAGCTCTTATTTTGGGGTATAGGATTGTAGACAGTGAGACAAAGGAAAATAAAATGCAGACTAGTGATGACTATTGTATATTTGACACAAGCCCTTGCACAACTATTGCTGATAACACAAACATCCTGGCACAAGCTAAAGGTTCCCTTTGACCATAGGTCCAGTCGTGTCCGACTCTTGAGGACAGTGGTCATCTCCTTTTCCAAGCCGTAGAGCTAGCGTTTTTGTTCAAAGACAATCTTCCCTGGTCACATGGCCAGCGCGACTTAGACATGGAATGCCGTTAACTTTCCACCATGGTGGTACCTATTTATCTACTTGCATTTTTGCATTTTGCATGCTTTCGAACTGCTGGGTTGGTGGGAGCTGGGACAAGCGATGGGGGCTCAGTCCGTCGCGTGGATTCAATCTTACGACTGCAGGTCTTCTCACCTTGCAGCACAGAGGCTTCTGCGGTTTAACCAGCAGCAGCACCACATCACTCACCTGGTACTAGGTAAACCAATTAAAAGAAACAATTACATTTCTTTATTGGCTTTTCTATCATTAGTTCCAGGATATTCTGGGAGTCTGAAGTTTTTAGATGCCCATGAAGGTGTTGAAAAAAAGAGAAGAATCAGAAGAAGCATACAGTGCAGACAGAGAAAGCTTAGAACATGAGATTAAGTAAGCCAACGTGGCTTTTAATGGCTCTGTTTTGTGGCAATAGCAAGTCAGCTCTTTGGGAAGGCTGGCTTACTGAGGAGGGACAGCTTGCATGCTGCTTCAGTCCTCCCAGTTGCAGCTAAACAGAGAGAGCATGAACCTTTGATCATTGCTTTGTTTATTGTTAAGTGCAAACCTGGAAGGGCGTTGGTTCTCTGCCTTCCTTTTCACAGTAAGACCAGCAGAAATACATATTTCAAGTTTATTATGCTTAACTTCATCTCAAACTATAATACACTTCAGCAAATCTGATTTGATGAAAAGAGATTATAGTCCACTTTTTGAGCTCCTCTCCTTTACAGTGTCAAGGCAGACACAGAAAGCATTAATGTTCTGAAAAATAATGGAGAAAAAGAACTGGGAGAACCAGGATTCATTGGCCAAATTAAGGGGTCAGAATGCTAGTACATCTTGCTTGCCAAGGGAGCAGCAAAACCAAGCAGGAGCCTTTTGTCTGTGGCTTGTTTATTATGATGTGCAAAACTCAGCTCTCTCATTTGTCCTTCCCCATCACTCCCACAAAAGCCAGATAATTAATCTAGGTTTGTTTTTTGGTTTTTTTTAATGTGACATCATCTCAGTTTGGTAGCTTCACGTGAAAGAGGGCTACTGTACTTTGTATTGTGCCCCTTTCACGCATGTGCAGATCACCCAGAGTGTGATTCAGAGGCCATGAAGAACTTTTGAAGAACTTTTGTTTTTAAGAGCTATAGTAGATATTTTGAGTCGATTCCCAAAGAAACACTCTCTCCTTCACGCATGTGCAGATCACCCAGAGTGTAATTCAGAGGCCACGAAGAAGAACTTTTGAAGAACTTTTGTTTTTAAGAGCTATAGTAGATATTTTGAGTCGATTCCCAAAGAAACACTCTCTCCTTCATTAGAAGGCTAACAATGGTTTCTAGAACATGCCCTTTCAATGCCATCAGTGTGCAGGGCCTTACTAATAATTTACCAAATAATTTCTAACCCATGTATTCTAAATGAAATGGGTGCCTTTATATTCTTTCCGGATTCTTGAAATTAACCCAGAGCACACTTCACGTGACTTATATTTGACCTAACACCAAGGGTCCTGAACTTCCAGCATCTGCATGGTACCATGCCAATGTCTCATTAGAGCAATTTTTCCCAACTTGGAGGTTGTAACCCCAAGGGGGTCATGAAGTGTTTTCGGAGGGTGGGGGGTCATGGATTGTCTCATGTGTGTTGTAGCCCTTGTGTAATTTCTTCCCTGATGTTGCAGAGTGGGATATTAAAGTTAGTGTGTATGTGTATGTACAAGAAACAGGCCCTTGGGGAGAAGAAAGAAGCTTCTACTTCCTGAAGAGAATTTACCCCATTAAAATGCCTTTTTATG